AGCCCCGAGCCCTGCAGCCTGGCTGGGCCTGGCTGCCGAGCGCCACCGCGGAGCCAAGCTTTTTCCTCCTAGGCCTGGCGAGCCAGGTTCCAGGGTTTCCTGGGTCCGCCTGTCTCCCTGGGGTAAGCAGGTGGTGGACAAGTACTTACTCCATCCTGATCATTTAAATATTTATTATAATTATTTTTAATATAATTTTATTGATTTCAGAGAGGAAGGGAGAGATGGAAACATCAATGATGAGAATCATTGATTAGCTGCCTCCTGCACGCCCCCTACTGGGAATGGAGCCCGCAACCTGGGCGTGTGCCCTTGACCAGAATCAAACCTTTTGGTCCGCATGCAGGCCAACGCTCTATCCACTGAGCCAAACCAACTAGGGCTCAACAAATATTTATTGAGAGCAAAATAGTGCAGGGCAACCAAGTCCCTCCCAGATGCCAGCCCTGTGTTAAGCCCCCAAAAGCATGCGAGAGGATTCTTTGTGTCCCAGCAGTGCCCGGCTGTCCCCGAGAGGCTCAGGTTCCCTGAGCAGGCCTTCATCCAGGGCAGCTTGGAGGCCCTGGTAACAGGGTGAACACGGCCATTCCTGGGGGCTGGGACTGGGGGCCCGCATGACCCTGCCTCCCAGCCTCGGAGAGGCAGCAGAGAGCACAGGGCCAGGCTCTGGGTGAGCATGGCATGGGGTCTCGGGACCCTTTCTGATTCTGGGAAACCTTTCCCAGTGCCTCTCATCTGGGCCTGCAGAGACTGGGACAAGGGATGAGGAGGGCCTGGAGGGGTGGAGAGAGGGAGACAACCCAGGTGGACAGATGGATGGGGCAAGGAGCAACTGATGGGGCCAGAGGTGGGTGTGGGCGTCTGCTGGGTGTCAGGGCTTGGTGGGGAAGAGCAGACAGGTGAGTTGGCAGCTGCCGCTGTGTCTGTCCACGAGGGGCAGGGGGTGCTGCATGTAGTGCTGGACCATGGCAGCCACGGAGGAGAAGCGCTGCACGGAGAGGCAGGGCACCGGTGAGGCCCTGGGGGCTCACGCTGGGAGAAACGTCCTGAGGGAACTGCCACCTCTGGGGAGGGGGCTTGTTGACATTTTAAAAAACACGTTCCTTCCCGTTTGTCTCAAGAGGCTCCACTGCCATTTTGCTACCCAGTTCCAGGCCTTGCGCAACGTTCCCGTGACTACACCCATGGGCATGTGTTGGCCAAATCCTATTTCCAAGGCCAGATGGCAATAACTCTGGGACCTGCCCCTGTCCTCCCGCATGCGAGCCGAGTGGCGGGTGACTGTCTGTAGTTTGCAAGTGCTGGGCACCAGTTGAGAGTCTGGACTACCTGAGCCCTGCCGCCTCCCAGCAGGTTCCCTACCCCATCTGGGCCCTGTGCAGACTGAGACAAGCAGGAGGAAGTGCCTCCCCCAGAGGGAGGTGGGCCTCTGGGAAGGGGTTCAGGTCACTGCCTTTGTCAGGTCAGGCCATTGTCATTTCCACCCACTACAGAAAAATATAGAATGTGGGTTTTCCCCAGGCAGATACTCCTGGCTGGGCCAGGGTACTTCTCTGCTGTGACCTTGTTGCCCTTTGGTCCCCTGCCTCCTCCAGCACCCACCTCCTCGTGGTTCCTGCCCTCCCGGCCCAGGGCATAGTGGCGCCCACCATCCAGCCGCCGGATGGGAATGTTGAAGACCCGGCCGTGGAGCAGCACTGCCAGGGTGAGGGGCTGGGAGCCACGAGACCCCGAGCTGGGGCGCACGGTGTAGGCCCCATCCTGTGGAGGAGACCTGCCCATCAGCCTCGCCTTCCAGCTGTCCACCGGCAGCCCTGACCCTCGATGGCCATCCCCCAGCCCTCGCTCTGCAGTCCCTGCCTGCTCAGCCAGCCACAGCCCATGAGCAGAAGGGGTTTCTGAGAAGGCCTGGGGGGCTCTGCGGTTGCCCACCTTTTGGCATCGGAGCAGGGCGCTCTCGACAGTGTGACGGTCACAGTTTTCTGAGAACCACGGCTGACCCAGCAGGCTGCCGTCCTGTGCACACACACATACACACACAAGCTCAGAGATGTGTGTGTTGGGGCACTGGATTGGGGTAGTGATTTGTGTTCACAGCTGCCTTCCCAGACTGAGTCTGTGCAAGCTGAACAAAGATATGCCGGTGCTGGTACCCAGCCGGGTGCCACACACACGTGTTCCTTGCAATGGTGGACGCGGGCCCGGGAGGGCTCCTCGCAGGCCTCGGCCCCGCCCTCTCCCAGCCCCTCCTCACCTCCGCAGCCGAGGTTCTTCCGGTGGGGGCTGCAGAGGAAAGAGAGGCACGCCTTCCTGCTGGGAGCAGATTACAGAGCTGGGCTGGGAGGGGTTAGACAAAGGAGGCTTGGAGCAGCTGCAGGGGTGTGTGCATAGGGCTGAAACCCAAAGCAGGGCACCCAGTGTGTCACCCCTCCTCTCCTCTCTTGGGCCCTGGTAGGACCCATCAGGCAGGCCACGCGTCACCTCCCATCGAGGGGTGATCTCGAGGTACACGCTGGGAGCCTCCTGCTCTGATGCAGACCCTGGAAAATGGCCAAGGGGGTCCCCTCGGGCCTGCTCTCAACTGGGGGCAGAGCTGCCGGGACCCCCTCAGCAAAGTGGAGTGTGCGGGGCTGCGGCTGGGATGGGCCGGGGCAGGACTCCTGGGTTCTCACTGAAGATGCCTGTACTCACCTTTGGAGGCGGCGTTCGCTGCTCCCTGGGACATAGGAGGTCTGGTCAGAAGAGACTTGGCTTCTCTGGGCCTGCGGTCCCACCCTGAGGCTCCCTCCCTCCCAGCTCACTTCCCCCCAGAGCACCAGCCTCTTACACCCAGAGCTTCCTCGGGGGCCATGGAGGGCCTGCGGGGGGAAGTAAGGAAACAGAGCTCAGGGTCTTCACTTCCTTCAAAAAGAAAGGCCCAGGCAACCCAGAGATCCCAGGGCCAGGGCTGGGGAAGCCTGAGTGCATCTCTCTCTCTCTCTCTCTCTCTCTCTCTCTCTCTCTTTACATACACACACGCACAGGCACACACAGGCACACGCACACACACAAGCACACACAAGGCACACACAGGTACATGTACACAGGCACACACAAGCACACATGTATACACAGGCACATGTATGCACACAGGCATGTGCGTACACAGGCACACCCATACACACAGGCACACACAGGCACACACAGGCACATGTACACAGCACACACGGGCACACATGTACACACAGAGACACACGTATCCACGCAGGCATGTGTGCATACATGCACGCACACATACACACATGCACACAGACATGTTCACACAGAGACACAGGCACACACACACCCTGGGGCACACACATGCACACAGACATGTGCACACACAGGCACACACACAGGCACACGTACACACCCCCTGGGGCACTCACCTGCGCACTGCCGATAATGTCCTTGGCAGAGGGGCTGGGGGCATCAGGACTTGGGAGCTGGGAGTCTGAGGCCAGGCAGGGACTGAAAGAGAAGGCAGGCCCTGCTGGGCTGGGAACAGGCCAGGAAAGCCATGCAGGCCCGGGAGGGGCTGGCAACGGCAGGGCCTGCTGCTTCCCTGCAGCGGGCCTTTCTGGGAAGCCTTCCAACCAGGCTGCAACAGCTGGGAGCCCACACACAGTGCTGCTCTACGGGGTCCCCTCCCTTGTGGCCACAGTGGGGGTCAACCTGCATCGAAGGTGGAAGCGTGTGTGTCCATGTGTGTGTGGGCAAATGTGTGTCGGTGGGGTGGTGAGAAGACAGGGCAGAAAATGGAGTCAGGAGCTGGGGCCTCAGCGGAGGGATCTGGGGAGCAGGGAGGTGTTCACCTGAACTGGGCTCACACTCCAGGTAGATGTCCTCTTCACATTGCTTCGCAGAGCCTGGCCCCTAAGACAGAGAGGGCTGTGTGGGACCAAGGGTGTGACCGACACGTGAGTGCGAGGGTGGGCAGAGCATCACTGGGGGGTGCTGAGGGGGGCTATCGGCTCCTCACTTCCCCTCACAATGTGAACCTCATTCTGGGAGCCAACTGGAATGATGACAATTGCTCCTTTGCCTGGAAGGGGACACCCCACAGGCCGAGCTCTCAGAGAATGGGGTGGCCGGAGGAGCAGTGGCAAGGCCCTCCCCAGTAGCTCTGAGCAGCTCCCTCAGGACCACTGTGGCCCACAGGGAGGGAGTCAGCTCTGGGCCCTTTCCCTCGGTTTTAGGGACATTTCCTGGCCCTCCCAGGCACTCGACCCCAACCTGCCAACTTCCTAGCGAGAACCCTAGGGTGTGGCGGGGGATGGAGGGGCTGCTCACCACTCGGGCTGGTGCGCTCAGCTCTGGGGGGAAAGGAGAGGACCGTCAGTCATAGCGGAGGGAGAGGGGAATGGAGAGAAACCGTGGCTGGAAGAGTGCGGTAGCCTCGGGGCTCCTCTGAGGGTGTCCTAGGCGCCAGCACGCCAGCACTGCAGTCCCGGTGCAAAGCCCCCCTCACCACGGTGCCTCGCTTCACGACCCAGGTATTACCTGACTTCACCTCCCAACCCATTTGCCAGGCGTGGCTCCAAAGAACACTGGGCTGTTCCAAAAATCAGAACCTCTCAAGGTCATGAGGGTTTACCAACCACTGAGCACGCGCCTCGGGGTAGCTGTCTGACCTTGGGCAGGAGGAGGCTGCCTCTCCCGGGGCCGCTTTCAGACAGAAAGTGCTGGCCGAGGTCCCTCTCTGTCGTCCAGGCTGTGGGGTCGCAGGCCTGCGGGCAGTGACCTTAGGGGACAGTCTCTGGACAGCGGGGGCAATACTGCCATGGATAAAATCAGAGACTGCGGCCAAGGGGCCCTGTGGTGGGGGCTGGCACTCCTGTCTCCGCAGGGAGGGGCCTCCAGGCAGAGTAGGCCACCGTGGTGCCCCTCACCTGACCCGAGACCACAGCGGGCTCTGCTTCTGTGCGATCTCAGTTCAGGCAAAGCATTTCACGTCTGGGACCTCAGTCTCCTCAGCTTCCTGCCTTAGCCGGTGGGCAGGTGAAAATGAGGGACAGCACGGGGAGTGCAGTGACCAGGTCCAGCATGAGACCACGGGAAGGCAGCTAACTCTCCCGCTGTGGGGCCGGATCGCCCTTCTCAGGGCCCCAGAGGGAGAGAGGACATCCCCATTACCTCGCCTCCTGGAGGACTGGCCCTGCTTCATGGCCTCCCGCAGGCTCAGGGCTGCCATCCGCTGTGGACACAGGAGCGCTGGTGGGGGGGGGTGGGGTG